GGGCAACTGCCAAGGCAAGTTGAAGGTGAGTCTCTTCGTCCACTAAATCTACCTCTGACGCTTCCAACAGGTTCTCCATCGCTATAGCCGCTGCATTGCTGCCTTCGTTCAGGCTCGCATAGTAGCCTGGAGGAGGTCTTGCCCTCGTCATCCTTGGAGGAGTAGATGGCTGAGGTTGCTGCTCGGTAGATGGTTGAGGTTGCTGGGCGGTAGATGGTTGAGGTTGCTGCTGCAAGGTAGTGGTGATGGGCTGGACGCTATGAGGTAAATTATTATTATTACTGTTGCCGCTGTTATGTTCGTTAACAGCGGTAGGCTCCCCCTCGTCCAGTGCATCCACCAGGATCTCTGCCGGTGCAAAGGTGAGGTTCCTCTCCACCGATACACGGCGCTTCCCCGGCCAGTACACCCTATAACCCTTGCTTTCAGCGTCTACCCCTACGAATATCGCCTCCTCCGCCTTCGGCTCCAACTTCCCTGCATCCAGCACGTGGACGAAGACTTTCGCCCCAAACTCATGGGCGCGCGACAAGTCTGGCTTCGCCTTCCGCACCAGCTCGTATGGCGTCGTGCCAGGGGTGGACCTTGATGGTAAGCGGTTTTTCAACCAAGTCGCGTAGTTGACTGCCTCCGCCCACAGGTACTTCGGGAGATCTCTCCCTATCAGCATTGCCCTAGCGTGCTCGACGAGGGTCCTGTTCAGGCGTTCGGCTACGCCATTCTGCTGAGGTGAGTCGTGGACCGTCAACTGACGTTCAATGCCCTTCTGATGGAGGTATAGGTCAAACTCGGCGCTGAGATACTCTCCCCCTCTGTCCGAGCGGACCTTTCGCAGCCGAACTCCCGGCATCTGACGCGCCAACCAGGCTTCATAGCCCTTAAATGCGGTAAGTGCCTCGCTCTTCAGTTTGAGAAACTGAACTTTGGTCTGTCGGCTGTAGTCATCCGTGAACGTGACGTAGTATAGGCACCCGGCGATGCTCGCCGTTTGGGCAGGGCCCCATAGATCAGTGTGCACAAGTTCGCCGTAGGTAAGTGCGCGGCTTGTGCTCTCCTCTGGGAATGGCTTCCTCATTGACTTAGCTTGGACGCAGGCTTCACAAAATTCGGCCTTCGACGCCTCATCCAGTTCTAGGCCGGTGACTAGGCCCTTTCTGATCGCATCGGCGGCTGCAGTCTGGGACACGTGTCCCAGTACTTTGTGGGCGCTGCTGACGGTGAGCTTGCCTTTTGCGACGTTGGCATGATGCTGACGTTGTTGTCCTCCTGCGACGCTATACAGGCCTTCTGTTACAATAACATGTAACCGAGAACCCCTCCTACGGAGGTCATCATGACCTTAGCCCCTATCCCACCATATGCACCGTCTTGGAAGACTTACCGACTCAACGGAGACTCGTAGAGACGCCTAGAACGGCCTGGATGCCGTTAGATGACCTAGACCAGCCTAGGCTACATCTGATCGGACCTAGATGGTCCTCGACCCGGATCATGAGGAAGCTCTGCCTCATGGTCAGAAGACAAGCCGCATGCCTTAGCATGCGCAGTTAGACTCAAAGGCATGTTACGCCTTGAGGACAGATAAGAGAGGCATGGTAAGCCTCATGCATAGATAATCGACCGCATGGCATCAGATAAGATGCCCTTGTATAGACACACTTACATCTACCTACCGAACGTAGTATTGGTCTGTGCACACGGACGACAGTATATAGAGCAGACTAGAATCATGTATATTCCCTACTTGATTCTACTAGGTTTTATCCAGAACTTCCTCTGAAAGACAGTCCCAGTCCTTCAGTCTAAGCCGCACCTTAAGGAAAGCCGACGCTACCTTAAGTGGAACCCCCGAACCTCTCATTCGAGAGAAGATCCCCGTCTCTCCAACAGCGAGCCCGCTATCAGATTAGGCAATCCGCCTAGGGAGAGCTCGAACTATCCTAGTCCGTAACACCTTCAACCTGCGGGATCTCCGCAATGACCTTTCGGTCCGGCCCTTTGGATAAGAGCTTGCACATCCTGCCCTCGAACAGCACGGCTAGACCAGCTGCCGCGATACGGTTCGTGGAAATTAGCGTAAAGGCCATCTTCGGTGCGTACAGTGCGTTTTTTAATGTCACCCTTGTACGTTTCTCACCGAGCGGTAGCTCCAGGTGCACATCCCCTCGCCCAATGGCACTCAAACTGGAACCGTCGGCCGTCCGAACGTCTTGGGGAGGGATACTCACGAAGTTCGTGAACTTGGCTCTATCAGGGCAAAAATGGGAGGTCGCGCCCGAATCTACGATGGCGCCTCGCTTTTCGACAGGTACGTTTAGCTCGCCTGCCACGCTTGCCAAGTCTGACGTGACAAAGGCATACTGGTCGTCGTGGGGCTCTGGCTGTGTGGCTGAGTTGGCTGCCTGCTTCGGCGCCTTCTCACCTCTCCTCTTCTGTTGGTTGGGACCTTGTCCCTCCTTCCCACCACCCGGACGCCAACAGTCGGTCTTGTAGTGGCCTTTCCGGTCACAGTTAAAACAGGTGACGTCCGGATTGGCTTTGGCGGCGCCTGCTGACGCTCTACCTTTCCCTTTTGTTTCTCTCGCAGAGAGGGCGGAGCCAGAGGCTCCCTTTTTGGTGGGACGACGTTCGGTGAGTAGGCGATGCTCATACTCTTCGGTCACGATGCTGATTAGCTCGTAGGAGGTGATCGGAGTTTTGGTTATCCTAGCCGCTGCGCTGATGGAGGATAGGAGTGGTCGGTAGGATTCTGGGAGCGAGCCCAAGATGATGGCGTGGAAGTCGTTGTCGACGATACCTGCGCCCATTCCGGCCAAGGACTCGCGGAGCCTCATGAGCTCTGTGAAGTGGGCCTTAACGTCCCCTCCTTCATCACAGCGTGTCTCTTGCAACCGACGCCGTAAGTCAATTTGCACGAGTTCAGTCTTACCCTCGTGAATCTGACAAATCTCGTCCCAGATCTCGGAGGCGTCCCCAAGCTTCTGGACGCGCAGTAGTAGCCGATCGGTGATCGTGCTAAATATCTGCTGCTTCACGAGTGAGTTTTTCTGGTGATACTCGTCGATCTTGTTATCGAGCTCGTCTATTTCAGTCTGCGATGGCGTTGACCCGTCAGGCTTTTTAACGGCCTTGGTTTTCGGATCGACGACGAAAGGAATAGGCTCGCAGACTCGACCATCGGTATATCGCATCAAACCTCGCGCTCCAATAGCCGTTAGTGTTCGTTCTTTGTAAGTAATCCAGTTCGAGCCATCTTCTGCGAGCTTCGGGATATTGAACAGGCTGGAGTTGGTAGCGGGGAGCGTAGATTCCATGATGGTGGCAGGGCTCATAACCTAAAGGCGTTTATAACGAGCGCAAGAACAACGAGGAGTCTAGAACGAGAAAGATCTCAGTGTCTTGAACGAAACTCTATTACAAACGGTGCGTCTACCTAGAACGAGAAAGCTACAGCTAACGTTAGACGTGTTAACAACTCTAGGTGACTTTTAGAACGTACATCTCAGTGTCTTGAACGAAACTGAGATGCACCTGCGCTACTGGTACTGGTCTTATAGTAAGTGTGTCAGGAACTTGAATATATGAATGAGAGACTGAAAATAATCTAGGATGCGAGCCGATGTCACTCCACCGCTCGCCTATGTCCATTTTGGCTTGAGCTCGTACCTATCACCTCCCGGACATCCTTATCTCGGATCCTTCGGCTTCTCTCGTCTCGGACGTCTCGGCTTCGTAGTCCAACACTAAAGAGCCCATGCGAATTTTGCATAACGACAAGGCACATGGTAGAACGCCGCACTAGCAACCCAACCCCCACGTCCTCAAACCTCGAGTTCTCGTTGAGAAGCAACTGTCCAAAGAACGAGTGTTGGCAGTGCATAACATATTGACATTATGACTGACATGTGTATCATAATTGTGAGAGAAAAACATAGGGTTAACATATGGCATGGCCGGGAACATTGCATATCTACATGAGAATTGTCAAGACAGAACCCTCAGACACTGATCTTTCATGGAACGAAAATGGTATATTGGAAATGGTATATATCTGTACGATTGGGCACAAATCACTTGGACTGCTTTGTCTGGCCGGTTGGGTAATTGGCTGGGTTGGACTTCTTTGCCGGAGGTGGTTGGGTGGTCGGGCGAGGCCTTGAGTAACCACTTGTTAGTATCATGAGACCGGATTGCTTATAATAGTTGAACGTACGGGGAGATCGGTGGAAGAGTATTCTTGTCTTTCTTGTCTTTCTTCGTCGCACTTCTGGGGTCGGCTGGTCCGCGCTCGGTAAAGCTAAATGACAGTGTGAGATCCTGGGCCCCGCTTCAATTTAGATGAACGAACCCAGTTGAAGGACCCTGGATCGATTCCTCTGATTCCTCTGGACTAAATTCTTCCTCTGATGAGAGATCGGAGTCATCAGACTCTGAGTCGACATCTATATCGGTTGGTAGCCTGGAAGCAATGGATGATTTCATTTATGATTCATACTAGGAGGTAGATCATCTTACCCTTTCTCCTCAGCGATAAGATCTGTGATTTGGTAGGAGGCCATTTGGTATTTAGTATGATCGAGGAGTTAGAATTTCAGCCTGTTATAAGGCGAAGATACGATATCTAACACAGGAAGAACAACACTGGTATTTGCAGCATGGCAGCGTAGAAATCGCTCTTTGTCTACTACAACGCGAACGTTCATTGGTCAGTTATAAAGGTCCTGTGTATCAACTGACTCATTGCCGTACTTGCTGTAGATCAGTCTGGTGTAAGTGCCTTGATACCGTGACACGACAGAAACCTCGGCACTGTGTTATGTATGTCCCTTGCATGTACAGTGCGTACCATACCATATTCATATTGACTCGGACATTATGACAGACATGCGTAGGGTTAACATATGGCACAGTGGCCGGGAACATTGCACATCTACATGAGACAGAACCCTCAGATACGAAAGAAAATGGTATATAACTGTACAGCCGCGGTAGGGCACAAGTCACTTAGACTTTCCCTGCTTGGTCTGGCCGGTTGAGTAATTGACTGGGTTGGGCTTCTTTTCCGGAGGTGGTTGGGTAGTCTTACGAGGCCTTGAGTAACCATTTATTATCATGAGACCGGATTGCTTATAATATTTGAACGTACGGGGCAATCGGTGGAGTACAATTGTTCTTGTCTTTCTTCTTGTCTTTCTTTGGTGGGACATCACAATCGTGTTTCTGCGGTCCGCGCTTGGAAAAACTAAATGACAGTGAGATCCTGGGCCCGCTTGTGATTTAAATGAACGAACCCAGTTGAAGGACCCTGGATTGACTCCTCTGGCTCGGGACTATGCTCTTCCTCTGATGAATCATCAGACTCTGAGTCAACATCTGCATTGATTGGAAACCTGGAGGCAATGAATGATTTCATTGATAATTCATACTAGGAGGTGGATCATCCTACCAAGCTTTCTCCTGAGCGAGAAGATCTTCTGTGATTTGGAAGGAAGTCATTTGTTATTGATGATCGAACTCAGATAACAGCCTATTATATGGTGAAGAGGCAGTATCTGACACGGGAAGAACAACCTGGTGGAACAACACTGGTATTTGCAGCATAGTGTACTTCATCGGTCAGTTATAAATTGACTGAAGGTTGCTGTACTTGCTGTAGATCAGTCTGGGGTAAGTGCCTTGATACTGTAACATGACAGAAACCTTTGACACTGTTTTGTATGTTCCTTTATCGACTGGACATGTACATGGTGCGTACGTCGATGTTTTCCCAAGGGTTCATCAGACTCCAGAACAAGAAGCGGCGCATACAAATTCAAAGCCCGCGGTGTGAAGTGCGGATTTTCGAGACCGGGCAGTGCCGAGTCTTCGCGAAAACGAAAACCTATGCAAATAGTACTTTAATTAGTAAGTATATGGTAATTTTACTCAGGGCTGTGCGCCGGTAACTCTTATAATCAGGCTGGCATGAACGTTCTCGAGCTTCGGCAAGCATCAACTTCTAGCACGTGCACGTTACTAGAAGTTAGGATGCGCTTGGTCTCGATATTGTTCGAGCAAATGTTGGAAGGCTGTTGCACACCACTACAAGTTCTGGAAGACAAACACTGCAGTGTTAAATTGAAGTAGCTAGATGTGAAGTGAATTTTCGTAAGGAACACATGAAGTTTCGAATACTAGTCGTAATCAACGTGTCGTCACCTTTCTTTCGTTGTACATATTTGAGATAACCGGAATACATTGTTACACCTGACGTGTGGGAGTCGTAGCAGTCACACCGCGAATGATGGATACCTAAAGCCTAAACCATCCCTCACCTTCGCCCTGGAGGGCCTGGTGGGTATTGTGCGGGAGGAAACTGAGATGGGTAATGTGCGGGAGGAAACTGAGGTGCGGGGTACTGTGCGGGTGGGTACTGTGCGGGGGGACGTTGCGAAGGAGCATGTTGCGCAGGAGCATACTGAACAGGGGGACGTTGTGCGGAGGCATGTTGCGCAGGAGCGTACTGTGCGGGGGAATGTTGCGCAGGGGCATACTGAGCAGGAGGACGTTGTGCGGGGGCATGTTGCGCAGGGGCATGTTGCGCGGGAGCGTACTGTGCAGGGGAATGTTGCGCGGGGGCATAATGAGCAGGGGGACGTTGAGCGGGAGCATGTTGTGGAGGAGCGTGCTGAGCAGGGGGACGTTGAGCGGGAGCATGTTGTGCAGGAGCATGTTGTGCAGGAGCGTATTGTGCAGGTGAATAGTATGAAGGATTAGCTTGACGAGGTGCCTGCATACTGGAGCCTTGATGTTGAGGAGGAGGATTTGACCAGGTGTTGGGTTGCATCTGTGCCTGCGGCATTCGTCTCAGATGCTCATCCTGCCTTCCACGACTCGTGAACCTGATGAGCGATCAATCTCTGCATTACAAACCAGAGTGAAGCGGGAAAATTTGTACCTCTCGTGGTTTGAGGAGCTGGCTACATAATCCTTGGGTCGTTCGTCTTCGGAATCTTTCGCATCCTTGGATCTGCGAACCTTGGAAGTAGTTTCGTCGGATTTGCTGATAACTTGGATGAGATATTAATGATGTGGGGTAAAAACCAATAGATACCGTTGTGGGTTGTGCTTGCGATCTTCTGGGTTGGGGTAGGACATAGCTAGTCAAGGACGGTAGGTGATGAGAGCACGCTGAGACAGATACAGGGACACCTTTTATGAGGCTAGGGCGGCAGAAGTTTGCGATAACGGTCAACTCTTTAGCAACCTTAGCTGGCCAACAGGTCCATATACGAACAAAAGAAGCTCTGATAAGCCCATCAAGTGATTGATGAGCCAGCCACTGGCATGAGCCGCCACTATCATAGTATATATAAGAGACGCCAGAACTGACGTTGCCCTTACTATTTCATCAGTTACGCCTGCCATGATGATGCTTGGAAGTGCTGTAATACCTCACCTGACGTGATGGCCCTAACACATAGCAGATTGCTTGGATGTGACTGTACCTTGGACGGTCACCGGTACTCAAGTACTCACCGGTCAGATATCCATGATGACTTTCCGTAGGCTTAGGTATAACCTTATTAGGCAGGAGATGTTCTGTCTGTAGACGACAACTTGCATTTTCTGACACTGACATAGTCAGCCTTGCTCGGCGTGGCAGGCGCCGCGCAGTGATACAAAGGCACGTTTTCAACCTTGCTAATGTCTCTTTCTCCCACCTCTATGCAAAGTACCATGTACGACCGCTTGAGTTCCTGCCTGACCAGCCCGCCATGGCATCTACCTCCAACCAATTCTCGACAAAAATTTCCTTGATGTAAAGTTGGCATGATACAAATGGTGAGGGTGCCGAGTGTCAATGGGGTCTTATTGTGATACCTCGCTCCCGCGGCAGCTAGTAGGGTCTGAAAAGTTCTGCCTGGTAGGGCAACTTGAGGGGGAAAATTTGTAGATAGATTCACAAAGGGCATTGTGTTTATCGTAAACCTTTTGAGACTCCGAGATATTCTTTCCTGTGATAACACCGCCACAGTTGACCGGGGTCTTTCGAATCGGCTTGCGAGAACCCAGATCCCATGTACAGATTCAACGTTACGCGTTCAGACAAGGCAGTCCGCCGCTGTCGCACAGCAAACCCGGCTTTTCCTTTATAACGGATAGCCAATCCCTTCATTATGGCTCGCAATATTCAACATGAGCTACACTCAACCAACATGCAACGATGTGGCAGCGCCTTCGTCCATCCATTCACCAGCAGGAATGCTCAGACCCACGACGTCAGTGGCTACCGCACGATATGGCAAATCGCCAAGGTAGGTTTGTGCAGCTCGCAAAAGCCCATACATGCACTGACATTCTATTGATTTTTAGTATCTATTCTTACCACACCGTGATACCACCAGGAGCTCCCAGGTTAGTCGTTTAGCGTCCGTTTGCACAAAACTGAACAATCAATATCTCCCTCAAGTACTCTCGGCATGCAAACGAAATGGAGCTCCTACCCACACCCAGAAGGCCAGCTGTACTTCCAAGCAAGACTTGCCAACTATGTCGTTGTGACAGAAGCCAATGTTTATAGGCAAGAGACCGAGAACCAGGTGTCTGGCTGCCTCAAGTTTATCGATGACATGATCTCGCAGCAGCAGATTATGATGCCGCCCTCGTCAGAGCTATTCATAGAGCTTGATGAATCTCCACTCTCCTGTGCCTACTACTTCGTAGACCATGATACCCGGCGTATCTTCTGGATTGAACAGACTTCTACAGAACTGCTCGATATGGGAATGATTGTCTCTGACTCCCATCGCGGTGTGTATCCAAATTATTCTCCGTCGTTTATCCTCACATGTCAGCAGACATCGCTTTAGAAAGGCTGTATTGGGTCCATGTGGAATTCTTCCCGATGCACATATACGCACAATTGCCACCTCAGATGGTAGACGATTTAATCGGCGTCATGTCTCATGGGGCAGCAGGTATTTATTTCCTTATTCATCAATTTTCATATTCTGAGCTCTGAATGAAGACCGTATGACATCACGATCATCTACGTTTCCATACACTGCAGAGAGATGTAGTCAGATGTTGCAACTACTGTCTCTGCAACGAGGTACATCCAAAAAAATATTAAGCGTGCCCAATTTCCTAACCGAAACTTTCTCTCAAGGGCGGGCCCTTGATGGACACACATTATGCTTTGTTGGTGGGTGGGAATCTCCAGATGCTGTTCTGAATCGAGCTCACGAATATTATAGCTCGTCTATGGGGCGCAATAGGTTTGTTGGACATCAAATCACCTCGACACATATACTGAGGCACATGACAGAAAACCAGCGGTTTTTGACTTACTATGGACAAGAGCATGCCCAATTAGATAGGCTGCAAATCATGACGCCCGAAGAAGATCTGGATCACCAATGGGTGAAAACAATTGCAAACCTGGCCTTGTGGGGAATCCCCGACCGATTTTTTTTCGAACTCCATGAATTGTTTGCAAATGAGCAAGTGTTTGTGGATCAATGGGAAATTTTCATGACGACATGTGTTTCAGAGTGGCATACAGCAGTTATTTGGGTGCGCACATTTCTGATCAACTGCGGTGAAGCTTAATTCATGGTTTGGTTCTACAGACTTTCCCAATAACAATGTGAGAAGCCTTGATTATCGGACACTAAGGGCGCCGTCATGATCGTTCTTTTTATAGTGCTACCATTCTCTCTTGCCTGTTATCTCGTGCTTCTTTGTCATCTGCCTTACCGGCCATTCTCTCAGCGTCTGGGAGCCTCGCCGTAGGATCGATCCTACTCCTTAAGCACCACGGACTAGAAGACGCCACTGCATCATTTGCTGTTCGCATCATTCTCTTTCTTACGCTCCGCAGTCCAGTTAACCATATCTATTTCAGGCGCGCTACCTGAGAGCCGCAAAATCGCGCTCGATTGGAATGCTCCCATCTGCCATCGTCTTTAGTTTGCCCAAAGGCCTCTATCTATGGAGCATCGTCTTTATGGTGGCCCACTTTCTCTTACTGACGTCTCACGTGGTCGGCGGACTCGCAATGTTTGGAGGCGCCTGTTTTTTGATACTACTTGTGTGGGCTGCCCTATATGTCACGTCTCCAGATGAGTACGACCAGAGTTCTATACTTAGCAAAATCCTGTGTCGCTGGCATTCAATCCAAGGAGATCCTGAAGGGGGAGGGGGAGGAAGCTCCGTATGACGGTGGCACCTGTCCCGGCCCTTCCCTGTTGGTCCTACTAGTAGGGTGGGTCTCGAGAGGTGTAGTGCTCGCGACGACACGGGTACTTGTAAGATATATGATGTACATGTAGCGCGCGCCAATATAGAATTATTTTTTGTAAGTCCGCATAGACGAGACCTTGCAAACTGGCGACATTTCTCCATGCTCACATCCCCCCTAGACTGACTTCACTGCGGTTGGACGGCGTCCGTGATACCAAGTGAGGTGGTGGGGCTAGACCATGGCTCAAATCCTTCATGCGTGATTCACGAGCGTGTGCCTGTCGAACATAGGCATACCTCTGGAAGTGATTCAGAGCTTGCAGAAAAATCACCCCGACCTATAGAATAAAAGCAGTGAGTTATTTCATACGAACATGGAAAGATGAGCAAATAACATACGGGGTTCTGACGCAGCTCGTTGAAAATACCAACGGTGGCTTCCCGAATAGATTCTTGATGGTGGAATAGGCAAAAACTCAAAGGCTGTAATCCTCCGGCATGTGGTGGCATACAAGCAAGCAGCTGCACGAGAAATCATGGATCACTCAACAGTCCAGAATGTGAGAATGCTCACCTCAACTATTTGTTCGTATGTCCGCAAGTTGTCTGCTATCGAACGCACGATGAGCTCGACTTCCGCGTCTGGCAAGTTTTTCACCAGCCGCAATTTCAAAAGTTGATGAGATAGGTCGAATCCCTGGATAGCAGCAGTTGCCCGATATTTTTTGAAATCCTACACAGTACGGAAAATATATCAAAATGTCCTCGAGGCTCACACCCCTTAGAGGAGGAACTACCCACCTGGACACAGTATTGATAGGACTTGCTCCTTCGCCAACCCTCAATCCGACTTGCGTTCGCAGCAAGCTCCTTAAATGCAACTGCCTCGTCCGGAAACACGATACCGCTGCCCAGGGACCCGTCTAAAAATGGTGCGCTACCACATCCAAGCTTCGTCGTTCCCACAACGAGCTCCTCGTACCGCGACGCTAGTCGAACGAAGCGCGCCACGTACTCCGTAAATCGCATCCGCACCAGCGTCTCCCCGAAGTGCGAGGTGATTGCTGAAATCAGCTAAACACCGAGCGATGTTAGTTGCCGACGTGATCGAGGCAATGCGACAATTTTACTAAGACCTACATCTTCAATGAACATGTTATCTAAGCTGTCTTGCTTCGCCGCAAACTCGCTCTTTTGGTTCCCGTCCTTCCCGTCTCGAGTTGCGATACGCTGGATATCATCCTCGCTCCCGGTCGAGTTTTCCGCCTTGATCGGACGTGGCATCATTGGGTTGACAAGTGCAGGCGGTGCCATCGTAGTTGGGAAAGATACGTGTATGTCCTTATGCACGACAACACGACCTGTGCCGATGTCCATCAAAAGATCCCAGGGTCCACTGGTTTCGAAGATAGGATTAGTTACGCCTGCTATGTATGCCGGCCTGCGAAATCAATATCATTGATCAAAGTCTTCCACGGGAAAAAGTGTGGAAATGCATACGTTGAAACCCAGTCCTCGCCCGCAAGTCCGGCGTAAGGAAATGATCGCTCAATGAATCCTCGTAGTACTGCACCACATCCAGAGCCCAGGGCACAAGCAGAAAGGACATAATTGGCGACCTGTCCAGCAGGGATATTATGACCAAGGAAGAGGATGCGTTTGCCAGTAACAAGCGCGTTGAAGAGAATTATTATTGGGTGCGTGAGAATTCCGTTCGTGTGTAGATGTGGGTGTAGCGGTCCAGAGATTGTGATGAGAGGCGAAGAAAACGTTTGTATTAGTTGGATTAGGGAATACTTGAGAAAACACGTATTCAGAACTGTGTATGAAGTGCATTGTCATCAAGAGACGCACCTCTCCGACTTCCTCAGGAAAGGTGGCCAGAGGCAGTTTGATTGGCAGGGTATGTCCTTTGTATGCGATGCTTGTCTGAAAGAAATGGGTATCTTTGGATATCCCCGAGCGCAAATGTGGGTCGGATGATGTGGGTATTGCGCCACCGCTATAAGCGTGGCTCGAGTTCGAGCTTGTATCAGTGCTACGCCGCCCGCGGCTAGTAAGAACACTGCTGCCGCTCACTGAAGCGCCACCGATGCTTCCTGGGCCTGCACCTATTGCAACACCCACTTGACTATCAATTATAACGCTGTCATCATTCACCCATACTGCACTCCCACCAAGGCTGAACGAGCTGTCGGACGGAGAGGACGGGTGGGTAGGGTTATGATCAGAGGTAGCTGTTGTAGAGCGCGCGCGAGCACTGATGAGAACCCCATCTTCAGATGAATGTGAGCCATTCGATCCTGTCGTCTTGTGTGCAGCCTTGAGAGGAAGTGGGGGTATATGAGTGAACTTCTCCGCAAAGATGTCTTTGCGCTCTGAGGCGCGCATAATTAGTTTTTCACATCGTGTAAGCGCAGGCGCAGCACTGATGTTCATCGAGTTAATCGCATCAAATAGGCGTGTAAGACATTCTTGGGATGGGTTTGCAAAATAGTCGTCGAGTGCAAGGAGGAGAACGGGCTGGCGCTTGGTGAGCAATCAGTCAAGTGATATGAAATTCAGATACACCTTGAATATTTGGATAAATGGATGTCGTGTGCAAATAGCCATCGCTTTCACTACGGCACCTCTGCGATGCGACGCATGTAGATGGTGTGCAGCAAGTCAAAACTACCTACGTACCTCCGAACCGACTTGTCATGCTTCGTCCGCACCAGGTTGAGGACATATAACAGTTCCGGGCGGTCGTCCTCTCCGTTTGACTGATTGTCACTCGGTTCCGTCTCCAAAGCAAGAACTGGTGCAATGGTATTGAACGGCGTCTGGTTGAGGAAGAAGATGGTCCAATCTTCGAGGTGCCTTTCTGCTCCATCTGGAAGCATAAGATTTGCGAGCAAACTGACATGAAATAGTTAACCGACACATAATTCGGGTCATGTCAAGTCGAAATTCACCCCTCGTCTGTTCCCAGCGGCTGAGGAAACTGGTACGTGAGCTGGGCACCACTATCAATGTCAAACTCGGCGAGAAGAACAAATGAACAATGTGGGCCTTTGCCGGCCATGTCTAATTACTGTCGCCGGCAATGCTGATTTGCAGCAGGCTGTTGACTGGGTAAGTATGTTGCTGTCGGGAGGGTTGGGCGAAGAAGTACAAAGTATTGCTTAAAAATTACCTTTTTTAGAATGTTGATATGTGCAATATTGATGATGTGGCAATGTTCAGAAGCTACTAGAATTCGATAATTCGGTTAAAATGATATTAATTATGACCAGCATGATAGAAGGAAACTTGTATAGCGGACATCCAAGGTTAACTACTAGACGAACGCGAATATGATATGGCACTTCTCCTCGAATCACTAACTTGGCGGAGAAGAAACATCAAAATATCACATGCTTAGTGGGAAATAGGATGTATGCAAGCTGAAGCAGCTTCATTATCAGACTTGACAGTGGTGGGTGGTGCGCATCAGAAATTCGTCGTCGGTTTTGGATTAGCTGAGCGTGCTAGCACTGCAGACATTCAATGACGAAATTGTATACATAAAGAATTATCATGAGTAAAATCGCTACAATAAGTTATCCAAGTTAGTTGCAAGGGAGGGTTTTCCTGATGGGCCTACTACACATACCAAGGGTTCTACGGTACAGTCTACCATAAAAGGCAGTAACCGGACGCAAGCGGTTCTCCAGGGGCTAGCCACTATGACTCGGACTTCGTCAGTACGTCTTCTTCCTTGACTCGAAAGTTAAACACACTTATCGCGTCTCTTCCTCAGACTTCGGAAATATCACCCGCCACAGAAGCTCATTAAACGCACCTGCTGGTATGCGAGACTGTAATTAGCGTGCCATGCGTATGCCGCCAGCCAGCCAGGGGGGGAAAAAGCGAACACAATAGTCAGTGTCCTAATTTCAATGGCAAGTTGTCATCTCCTCACCAGTCCAAATTGTAAGTAATTTCCTACCACCAGAACTAGTAATGTGTGCTATCGCCAGGGTTTAGACTAGTGCCAGTTGGGGCTAGTATACTATCTGTTCGGCCTTCCACTTCCAAATGACGTTTACGGTAAGATCCACGAGTTGACCGCTCCTAGCGCCCAGATAAGTGATGCTACTGATAATTTCATGAAGACTCAGTGTACAACAGGCCAAACGATCAGTGGAATAATCAATACAGCCTGGTACTCGCTGTCCATTTGCAGAGAAGGCGCAAAGAGAGATATCCCATGCGATTTCCAAGTTACTCTCTAGAATGATGTGATCATGAATCCTAAGAAGTTGTGTACTATGTACATAAGCCACGAAATATGGCACAGACGAAATCAAATCTTGCTCCAGAGTCGCGCGTTCAAATTTGGTTTCAGAGCTGCAGGATGGCAGGCGAGCTTCCGTCACCACGGCGCCTTAACTGGAGGAAAACAATTACAGCTGCTATCTGTAACTTGCTAGATCCGTATGATGTCCGGGGGGACCTTGGGCCTTCTTGGAGTGGAATTCCAATTGTTCCTGATGTGAGCGCTAATGAATTCGCACGCGCCTGCAGGCGGACATGAATAATACGTGTTCAACTTGGGCATTGCAAAGCGCCTCCAATCACCGTCGTACGGACTCCCGTAGCCAGGCTCAACGCGAGTTTGGGCAATTTCTTTACGTGTGCAGTCAAGTTTATGTTTATCGCTTATAGGCAGACAGGCGAAGATCGCAAAAGTATTTGACTAGTCCAAAACATAGGCGGTCTGGAAGTTTTCTGATAATTTCCGTGCTGACGGAGGTAAAATTAGTTGTGAGCAGAAAAGGCTAGATTAGAGCTCACCAGATTTTCTGTAAAAATGGGGAACTCCCATGCGCAGTGCAAATTCTGTCGCTCAACGTCGAAAATTGACTATTAGCAGAAAACCTCCTGCAGCACTTCTCCCCGAATCACCAACTTAAATTGTTTGGCGGAGAAGAAACATCAAGATATCACATGAGTGGGAAATAGGATGTATGAGTAAATGCGCAGGCAGTCACATCAAGCCGAAGCGGCAAGAGTGGCTTCATTATGAATCTAAACAGACTTGACAGTGGTGGGCGGTGCCATCAGAAATTCGCCGCCGTGTACTATCAAATGGAGCGGTTTTGGATTAACTGAGCGATAGCACCTGTGCTAGCACTGCATGGATATCATCAGATCGATATATCAGTGCATCAAGTGCGACCTTCAAGAATAATACAACAAGACCAGTTCGAATTGGGCAGAGCTATTAACAAGGTACCTAACGGACACAGGCGGCGCACCATATCGGACAGTAACAATGACGCCCGATCTCAACTGAGCCCCGTCAAGCTAGCGACAGTGTTGTTGATGGCTTCAAACATCTCCGACAAATGTGCGCGTATGCGATCTTCAGGAAAAAATAACAACAATCAGTAATCGTAACTAGCAAACGGCACAGCCTATAGCGGGGCGATACAAATGGCGTGCATACCAAACGTTGACCTGAAAACGGGGTGAGATGACCTGCCTTGATTCTCTTCGTCTTTCAAAAGTTTCTGAATGCCGGCTCCCAGCGTGTCTCCTGCGACTTTGTGTTCGTGCACGAGCCTCGCACTCGCCCAGGCGTGTGCATTCATCGCGATGAGAATGTTTTTTCGTCTGAGCTCTGTTTTTTATTAGGGGATCGCGTCTACGTGACTATATGCGCTCTGAACATCGAATTTTACCTTCTCGGAAGCACAAATTCTGCTCCCCTTTCTCGTTGAAGAGTGTTGTGATGGTTGATATGAAGTTGACTGTGGTAGATGTCATTTGAAGGATTTCTTGTAGCGAAGGCTGCTGGTTCCGGTCATTGCTCGACTCTGGTTGTGAGCGCTGGACTGGTTCAGGTGTTAGAGGACGCTCGACAGATGTATCTTCAATGCCGGTCGACGTGTTCTCAATGACTTGGGCCGCTGACGAACTGTAGGAGATATCCATGGTAGAAGTTGGCGAGAGCGAGTCGATCAATTATTGTATTTGCCGTCGGCCCAGTGGCGCGGGAAAGCTGAAACTACCGCATATAAGCAAGTGGCTATCCCAAGACTACTATCCATCCCGGCTGAGTCGTCACCCCCACAAGTCGTCACGACCTAAATATCTCACTCAATTCTTACTTCCACGCATAATTTACAACTTCAATCAATATTTATAACATGTACTGTTCATTGCGAGGTTGAACGACTGATTTTCACGAAGAAATGGTGAAGTTCTTTGAAAGCAGCCAAAGTCACGCAAGACTCACGCTGGTGACAGCCAGCCGAACGTTGCCGTGGCGGAGGTTTAAACAGATACTACAACTGGCTATGACGACTTGTCAGACTCGGAGATAGCCGCTCGAAAGGTGTGAGCAGCGGATCCAGGCTGCCAGCTTTGCAGGGTGTCACAAACAAGATCTACAAGACCATCAAAGAAGCTGCGTTGGCTCACAATGTAAGCTAGTATTTCACCCTCACATAATTTTTCGCTCTAACTTAACTGACATCTGGGTCGGAGGCATTGCTGAGCGGGTGACAAAAGCGTTACTTGACGACTGTGACGACAGCCGGGATGGATAGTATCCGGAATTTTGGCGATCACAGATATATCAGTCTTCGGAATCAGACCTGCGGTGGGCAAAACTTGAATCGCAACGTGGAGCGGAAAAAGTATTGAAGCTCTACAAAATCTGTGCATAAGTTCTACTACTCTGGAACATAGTTGGCCAAGATGGATTGTTGAATTCTGTCGTCATGTCGTGACCATAGCGAGTAACCGACGTCTAACATAACTGATCTACATTTCCGAGCTACGCAGTTACCAAACCCAATTTCCCCCGTTCCAAGACAGCTTTGAAACCAAGGTGTTCCTCGACGCCGAAGTTCTCCGTGGGGTTGTACATCGTATGGATGGGCTTTCGCGCGTTGATCTCCTTCAAAACAATCTTGGCTTCCTCATCAGCATCTCCGAGCAACCGATCCACTTCGCATTCCGTCATGACGGGTGCATCTGGGGATGTTAAAGTAGGATCCAATCTATTGTGTTGAGTTTAGTATCGAATAATCCAGTTGAAACAGACGAGAAACCCTTGCCTAGTTCTGACTGCAGAATGCATCTCAGGATCAGTGGGTGCAAATAAATGATGACAGAAGTCCATGGTTTTCTGGCAGTCAGATTGAGCGTGTCATAGAAGGTGACAGCAGAACACACATACCTGGAGTTCATCTTCTGTTAGCGCCTTGCCAACATCTGCGGTTCCTTGTATCACTGCACTCAAGTCTTGGGATTCGCAGTGACAAGGAAAAATATTGATTCTCACCTGGCCTGATAAGATTGAAGGCTCTATCAAAATTGTCCTCGTCCACATCGTTCATCACTGGTTTAGACTGATTGCGGATCTGTTTGTAGGTCCCCAGGATGACGAGAAGAAACCTACAGCATCCGTTACATTAGTTGCTATTGCCCGAGCGACCAAGTTCGCGTGCCTCGTGTAAGAGGTGGCGATCTTTGAGGTATGCCACCGTTGGGCATCCTCTTCGCTGCAAAGCCCTCGAATGGACGCAGCTATCGTGATGGCAGCCGAAAGTCCTCCTGTGAAAGCCAGATGCACGCCAGAGGAGAAGAATGGGTCAATGAACGCTTGATGATTGTCAATTGCGAGTACCACAAAACATCAGAAAAAATACCTCCAGAATCCCCCGCCAGGCGGAAATGATCCCCGGCGTAAGAGGAAGCCGAGTAACTAAAATCACTTGCAGATTTGACAGCTTCCAATGTACCGTTGTTTCGAAGAGTGCCATTTCCAATCAATCTGAGTACTCCAGGAGCTCTGCGTAATTCTTCCTTATAATGAGCCAGAAGATTCGAGCCGGATGTTCCCGAGGCCGCACGAGAAGCCTTCTTCTTGCGGTTGCTCGACTCTTGATCCATCACAATACCCACAGATGTAGTCCCATCATGAAGAGGGATGAACCAGGCCCATCCAGACTCGTCTGCACACGTTCAGCTCAGCATGACGACTTCGGGTAGATTTCATACCTTCAAGTGCTTCGACCCAGATAGCATTCTGGCGAGTAGTGTTTGGCATGTAAGACCCAGTTCCGGCCCAGTATCCCCAGCATGCGACGTTGTGGAGAGCCTGATTATAGCGTCTGTTCTTGAGATACTTTGTGGACATGATCCCGTTCCTTCCTGATGCATCGACTAGGTAGTTGAAAAAGATTCGGCCCTGTATCCCGGTGCTTGCATTCCTCCAGTCGGCTGAAACAGGCCTTTCTCCGTCGAAATGAATTTCAGCAACTCTTATGTTGTCGAATATGGTTGCCCCACACTTCGAAGCATGATGAAATAACAGATCGTCAAATTCTGATCGGATCTGCGAAATGGTGAGATAGAAAGAATGTTTCCGATATATCACGGACCACGTTCCAAGACCCATTGTTTGGGTTAAGCGCAATGAAATCTGTATCTGGAGCGAAGAATTAATGTTAACACGACGGTGAACGAGGGCGACTGAGGCTCACATCCTTCTCGCTTGAACTGGTTCAACTTGATCGCAGCACCGGGCTATAAGAAGGAAATCGTTGAATGTACTGTATTCTGGTGCATTTAAAATCATCCGCACCTTAATTGTGAAGCCATAGTTCATGATAGATTTCTCTGCGTCAACAAATGCCAAGAATTGGCGGACCGACGGGAGCAAGCTCTCGCCTATATGGTATCTAGCACAATTGTGTATTAGTGACCGTATATGTAGATGTCATATATCACAAATGCTGACCGAGGGAAGTTCGCAGCTTCGAGAAGAGTAACTTCAAACCCTTCTCGAGCTAAAGCAGCAGCAGCGTAACTTCCGGCGGGTCCGCCGCCCACAACAAGTATTTCAGTCGAGGTTGGCTGGCCAGTATTTTAGCCTTCGCAGCAGAAAAATTAATATCAACCACTTACAAGTGATTGAATGACCATTTTTATGAAGGGGAATGTATGAAAGGGACATATCGCTATACCTTTATATGTGGTATATCTTTGTATAAATAAACTTTGGCACCACAGATTCCTCCCGGCCGAATGGGAAGCTAGGTCATCATCTCCACTAAGAGACGAGACACTGCACTGTCTTGGCCACCGTCCGCATCGTGTTGCCTAGTTCAGTCAACCATTATTACCACCGAGATGATCTGGCTAGGTCAATACGCATGACCGACGGACAGAGCTAGGAACGGGCCCCAAATCGCCGTTTATGATTGCCTTGGTAAACTGTGAGTATCATAGGCAGAGAAGGATCCCTTCCGAATAGCCCATGACTTTACGGCAAGTTGCAACCTCTACTACTATTATATCACGTGATAATTTGACGGAGATGAGTCGGACTGAAGTTAACCTGGTCTTGGAAATGCCGATCATCATCGACACATGATACAATATTGTTCAATGTTGAAGTACTACTCTTTCTCCGAGTCTAGTCAGATTTTCGGGATGAGCTAGTACTGATATGATATATCTCGGAAGAGCCACTGACTGTGTCAGGTATGTAACAAAAGTTGAAAATTCTCAGCGCAAGTTTAGCTTAAACTATTTACTCACTCCTGTTAGTAACAAGTCACCGAAACTATGCTCCTCCGCGAAAGTTTGAAACTGAGTCTGGAGACTCTGGACCATGGCACTTTGACGTCATATGACAGGCACCCGACGACTACTATGGATGCTAACTTTGCAACTGTAGCGGCTTGGTTGCCTCCATACTGTAAGATGGTGTCTGCCGCAAATATAAGTATGTTGGCAAAGATTCCTTACAACCGTGACAAGTTGGCTGATAAATTTGACTGGTCTGATTCTAGAAGAATACCTAAACATTTGCAGTGGAAGCTCCGGAGTGGCGTATCAAATCTTGTTACAATGGCTCATATCACGAGGCGGTAAGTTACAATTGTTATAATTCAGTCCCCACTACTACGGATAGAATCACTGACATAATTCAGGGGTGCATATGATGCCCGGGACAACAAAATTGATGTGCCGCATTGTCCTCGCTAGCGAAACCCCTTTGTGCGATCGCCTGATCAAGTTTTAGAGCGGTCCTCGTGCTGTCACGTCTTTCTGGCAGAACTTTGAACGAACATGGAAGTGCCAGGGCGTGGTAGCCTGACGCTGCCGGGAAACCAATAGTTCTCTCGTACCGCAGCATCGATGCTCATTCCTGGCGAGCGACAACGAGCAGCTTGAATGACATCAAGTCCTTTTGCAAATTACAATGAAAGCTCCAGTGGAGTGTTGGATCTTGTTACAGTGGCTCATCATGAGGCGGTTGGTTGCGATTGGGAATGGTACGTCGGTATCGAAACGCTTATACGATTCATGGGTGCCCGTGGTGCGGAATTTACATATAAACGATTCCACAATTTTAGCAATCAACTCATTCTCATCTTGTCCTACTAACCCCCAAAAATGACAAACATAATAAAATCATGTCCGGACTCCGAACAGAAAGTATCTCGACGCGGATCTCACCGAGTCTGCACACACTTGCAGAGTAACTACGACGTGCACCTCGAAGGAACAATACTATATATGCGTGTATCAGTTTTTTTATCAAATCGCTCCTCTGACGTAGACGTTATTATGACCTTGATGAATGCAGATTCCAGGTCCTCAAGAATTCTGAGTTCCATGGACCATGAACAACTTTGGGCCTGCTGCACGCACGAGAAAGATGATTACTCGGTGTCGTGGCCCATAGGCTGTAGTTCCATACATGGCCTGACACTTGTCGTGCACCCGCAGCTTTTTTGCTCAAGTTCCAGCAAGCACACCCCATCGAGACGCAGCATTGGATGCTGGGAGGATAAGCGAAGCTGAAGGATGCCGGTTAGCGTGTCGATCTCGAGTATGCCATGCCTGTTGATGATGCAACATTGGCTGTCATAAAGGGCTTTCCATGGATTCACTTACGGACTTGATTGGGCAGCAACTCAGAACGACGAAGGTAAAGACGACTGGGCCGGCGGCTTTCGATGTCACGTCCTGCCTTGCCATCTTCGCACCAGCAACGCCATTCATAAGAGTATTTGCAAGTCTTTATCATCCTCTCGTCCTATTGCTTCCATGCCATTCAACATATTTATACATCCAGACCACTGTCCTTGCGTGCTGGAGGGATGCGTGAATAGCAGACAGTCGTGTAAGATCTATTCTTGCGTTTGACATGGCTCTCCACATAATTGAAAGCCAGCAGGTTCAGTTTGTACGATTTAAGCGTACTCTCCGATGAATTCATGTCCTGTGTGACACTGTGAGACGGCTGTAAACTTCGCGAGAGGTATGGTGATATGTTTGCGGGATTTGAGAGTGACTGAGCTCAGTGTTGGTGGAAGTCTATACGCGAGGGCAAAAAGTCACTGCCACATCTCTGTTCCAACTCTTCGTCCAGTACTTTCTTCCCTGTTTCTATGGCGTGCCTTTGTGTAGGTTAAGTGGGCTGCATCATCCCGTCATCAGTGTCCACTGTGAAGATTAACTTCTGCGCGAGAGATGGTACTGATTTTAATTTGGAGTGTATGCGTAAATCCGTGCTCGTGTCAATTTATGGCACCCGTCATTCTAGCTGATATATAGCGGAACAATCGTCAGAACAAATAGTATGCCAAGATTCGATTATTCCTAATTGACACTATTGTCCATCCACATCTAACAAAATTCTACCGTGGTGCAGGCAGCCCACTCACAGTTGCCCCAATCTCAGTCAGCTCTATCAACGGGTCCAACTTGCCTTTGAACTCAGGCAGGAAGGCTGCATCGGTATATGGACAGCGCACGGATGGTGAGCCTTTGTAGATGGGGGTGTATGTAGCTGCACAGATCTCAAACTCTGTGAACTCATCGTATGAGACCTCGACTGTGTTCCGAGGATTGCGGTCCCCTGCTGCGATGCGCTGACGAGCCTTGACATACGAGTTAGCGAGGGCAATGAATGAGATAAAAGAACCGCGAATATACCTGCGCAACAATTTTGGGATCGGGGTTAAGGTCAAGAAGGCGACGTGCCAGTTTGGCAGCGGTTGCATGGTTGTTGGCTTTGGCGAACACACCAATAGCGCTCCGTAGTGCGATCTGCATGTGCTGTGGCTGTAACTGGCAATGCGTGAAATATGCGGCGAGTTCAAGGCTCCGGCGAACATTGTCAGGTTCATCCTGTGCGATACGTCGCCGTTCAAGCTCAATGGAGACACCGAGGAGATACTCTCGGGCGGTCGTCACAGTGTCTCGCCACTAGGAGTATAATCAGTTGGCGTTGATATCCAGTGGTTTGATAATGCTTACTTCTTTGGCCTCCTTATCTGATGAGACAACCATAAGCAGCAATGCTAGCAACACCGACCGGAATGTTGCCTGAGCCTCTGACAACTTGTTGCCGGAAACGAAGCGGTATCCCTCTGACAGCTCTGTGCGGATCGAAGAAAGAGTACGAGCAGCAACAGGCAGCACCCGTCCAGGCGAGGTCTCCTCGGGGTTCTTCCGAATGTGCAATTGCAATGGCGGCAACGAAGCGATCGGGGATACGTAGACATGTGACGAACGGTAGATGGACAAGAACGATGGCTTCAAGAGCGCAAAGTTCACAACGCCCAGCTGTCGGTTGAGAAGCTAGTTGTAGAATTGAGTGTCTATTCGAAACGAAGAAGTGACGTGTAGCTCACCTGCATGGCGGAGTCGAATGATCCAGCTGCGACATGTTCAGCTGCGAAAGGTGAGTTCCGGACCCAGAGCTCGTTCTCGCTTACACCAGGTGCAGCGCCGGCGCCAAGGTCCTCCTCTTCGACGGCATCCTCAAACTCTTCATCCACATCTTTCTCCTCATCATCTTCTGCCTCTGCATCAAGCTCCCATCCATCTTCCTCTACATCTGGTTCCTCATCCTTCGCCCACTCGTCCAGAGCGGTAGAGGCGCCTGCACCTGAGTCCAAGCTATTGCCATTGATGTGAGGCATATCACTGTCTCCATCAAGATGGCCGTTGGCGAGCGCACGGTCAAAGAAGGATTCTCCCATGGAAATAGACGGCCAGTTAAAGTTGGATGTAGGAGTGACAACAGATGGGGTTTGGAGGGTACATTTTCCAAATGCAGGGACATCGTCCACGTCGGCCTCGGTAAGGCCAGCCGCCTCAAGAATTTCAGCTGCTTCTTCCTCCAAACCATTCGTCTTTGCTGTAAGATATGCCAAGGGGTCTGGGACGAAGTGTAAAGTCTTGAAAACCGAACTAAAGAAATGTACTTACGAAGCCCGACGTCGCGCAAAACAGTAATACGTCCAAGAACATCGCCGGCATAAAGCGCATTGTGGAAGCGCGACATGGGGTCGCCTCGTGCGTCTGCAATTTTCTGCATTTTGGAGAGCTTTTCTGTACTGCCTGTGGCGAGATACAAAAACGACAAGCGGTCGAAGTTCTTAGTTTGCTGGTAGGCTTTTTCGACGATCTGAGATGCAATAAATCGATTGTTGGACAACACGCAAGGAAGGAAGCAAACCTTGTGGTTGCCCTGCTTCAAGGCTTGTTGCGCTAGACGCTCCCAACACTCAGGCCGGTCGATCGCTCTTGCAGTCTCAAGTGCGACGTCCAAGTTCCCACACTCGATTGCAAGATCAAATCTGGTGTTCTTGTCTTGCACAAAGTGCAGTGCAATCTGTACATTGTATGAACCTTCCATATTTCAAGGATCTGCACTCGAAAACAAACCTCCGGGAAGCCCTTTTGCTGAAGATACGCAATGATGCTCTGCCCAAGCAATGTTGACGTGCGGATGATATGAAGCATCTCGTCATAGTTATTGCGCAGGAGCGCGAGTTTGAAGCGGTACTCAGTCGGATCGAACGTGATGGTGCGTGGGCGTGCAGATCGGTCCAGGCAATGAGCAGTTTTACCCTTGACACGGGTAAGGTAGACGGGATTATCTAATGTGCAGATGACGC